TGACCATGGCACACAAAATACAGTGCTCCCCCTTCCTTCTCACATGTGGCATAAAAAAAATGCAAGAACTGGAAGAGTAACAGAGGGCCCTTTCTGGATCACAGTCCCACAGTTGCTTTGGAAGAAAGGCAATAGCAATAGGAGGACAGGAAAGGGGAGGGAAAAGGCAAACAGGACAAGTTCACCTGAGCTCTGCTTCTGGTTCCACCTGCAACAATGAACTGAGGCTACCCAGGCAGAGCTGAGCTTCCCCTCAGCCCCCACTGCGCCACCTAACTCCATCCCTGTACTTCTACCAGCATAAAGATTTCCCCACGCTTCTGGAAAATACAGCCAAATACTAGATTTTGTTTAAAATAGGAAAATCACAATTCTGTTTAAAATAGGACAACTTGTCTCCAACCTCTGGGAGAACGACTTCCACATAGGCACAGGGTGCATTGTAACACTGTGAAGACATGAATGATGCAAAAGATCTTTATTGTCCTCTTGGTTCTCTCCATTGCCCTGAACTTCCCACAGCTATTGACTCCTTCTCCTGACATTCACTCTCTTGGCCAGTCTTACATGCTTATGAGTATATCTTTTATTTATTTACTAGTGTCCCAGTGCACAGATTCATGCACATTAAAAGGAAATTTATTAGAACTATTTTAATATTGCTATTCACCCTTTCTCTATAATAGAAGTGTCAATTCATGATCAACAATGACAGATGGAAACACACGCGTGCGATTGGCGCCAGCAAGAGCTTTATATGTATCACGCATGCACAAGTCAACTTAGCCTTTTATAGATATAGAATAAACTTGCTTAATTAAACCTGCTTTATGATTTAGCTATACTTTTTCCAGCCAGTGAAGCACCCCAACTTCTCCTTAAGGTAATTGTCAGCAACACAGTGGTAAATAACAACATGAAGCAGATTATAATTGTAGATCACGCAGGGAGAACAAAGGTAAAATATTTAACTGCAGCAGTGTTTGACTATATTCTGCGCAGTGAGAAAACCTGAAGTCATTTTCAAGGTCCACCATTTCTTCTTTTCATTCAGGTCAAGTTTCTAAACTTTCTAAATCTCTGTTGTCTTGCTAATGAAAAGAAAATAGGATTCTACCGAGTCTCCTATCTACCTACCCCAGGACTTCTGTGAGGATCAAGTGAGATGAGGCACGTGAAAAAGCTTCACAGACATTGGATAAAGTGTAAAATGTTTCCACCTGGCTATAAAGCAAGTCATGTTCTTGGGCTGAAGAAACTGCAAGGAGGCTAGTCACTAGGGAGAGAAAGCCAGGCATTACTATGTGACATCATTACCCTACACCCACAGCCACCGTTTCCAGGCTAGGCTGGGTTGTGGGCTGTATTTTGCACCATGGCAGCATTGGCTGCAATTTGGTGGGATATCTCTGGTGGTGGTGGGGCCTGTGTCCCACTTGGGGAAAGCCAAGTGTTGCTTTGTTGGCACCAGGTCCATGCTGCCATTTCTCTATAAATGGCCAGTGTGCATTATGGCAGCTCCTGCATTGAGTGTCTGCCCCTTGGTGGTCAGTGCACATCATAGCAACCAGTTGGATGGGTGGAGGGACACTTAGTATATTAGCCTTTACATATATATATATAGACTAGGGGCCTGGTACACGAAATTCATGAACTGGGGGCG